TTTGGTTTGCTTTTTAAAACAGGCTACATACCTCTTACATTCCTCTAGATTACAGTTAACTAATCAGATTTTATCCAATTTCAGAAACAAACTAAAACCAGCAATGACCCGGAAACTTAGCAGTGAACTGTGTAAAGATCTCATTAAAACCTGTAATTTGCTCCAGATTTACTTCCATCACCCTTCAAATAAAATAGTTCAGATGTGAGTCTGCTGTTAAAACCAGAAACGCGAACAACTACAAATAAGTACTCAATGTATAGCATTTAATTAATCAAATTAGGATTATAAAACAATTAAGGTGAAATTGAATAAAACCAATTTATATCTGAAATTTCAGATATCTAAGAAAATGGCAAAAAGCTGTGTAATAGCACAGAGACTAAGATCTTAATCCTGCTTTGCCATTACGTTATTTGGAGAATGTCCTAAAACTTTCGAAGCTAAGGCAGAGAAATGATAAACATACAAATTCAATGGATGTCTGTTGTGTCCAAACATCATTTTCTCAAACTGAGAGAAATGATACTCTAAATTCAGGACAAATTATTACATAAGACCAGACAGCTACTGCTGTTAACAAAAACAGCAGAAAAAGTAATGGAGATGTATGTAACAGGAAAGTAGGTGAGACTGATAGTTAAAAAGAACTGTGCAGTGGGACAACTATTGGAATACCTTTAGTTCGAGGCCTTTTTGCATGGAAAAATGCTTTTAACATGGTCAGAAATTTGTAGGGATTAATTAAAGACATTTACAAACTGATTCCTATTCAGCAATATTTGTGTTTTAACACAAACCAGGGATTCAACTGAACAGAGCTACATCTCTATTTTTTACATTTAGTTTCTAAGGAGAAATCAAGGAGGCTTCATCAAGTCATCCCAATGACCGTGCCTAGAACATGTATATCATCCTTCAAAATGACTAAATATTTGGTGCTGCCCTTTCCTATAACATCTTCTAATTTTTTAATGTTTTGGGAGTAAAAAGTTGGTCTAGAGAGTTCTAGGAAAACTAACAACAAAAAAAAAATCCTCACCTACAAATTCAGTAGTGCACATGAAACTGAAAGTAATTGGAGGAAAACAGATTTATAATGTAAATTCTAGCAAAGAATTTTGGGTGTGAATGGTACTGAATATGAGATGTCAGATAATTAGGCCAAAGAAATGATGTTATGACTTTTTTTCTCCTTCAAATGCACTGAATAACAGGAATATTTGCTGTATTAATCTTCTTGGAATGGTTTCCATTCACAAAGAATTCTTTCTTTTCTGTTTTCCTGAAAACACAAGACATCCCTTTGCAACAGAGAGATTATGTTGACAGAGTTCAGTCTGCCTCTTCACCTTTTTTGAAAACTAACAACAAAAAAAAATCCTCACCTACAAATTCAGTAGTGCACATGAAACTGAAAGTAATTGGAGGAAAACAGATTTATAATGTAAATTCTAGCAAAGAATTTTGGGTGTGAATGGTACTGAATATGAGATGTCAGATAATTAGGCCAAAGAAATGATGTTATGACTTTTTTTCTCCTTCAAATGCACTGAATAACAGGAATATTTGCTGTATTAATCTTCTTGGAATGGTTTCCATTCACAAAGAATTCTTTCTTTTCTGTTTTCCTGAAAACACAAGACATCCCTTTGCAACAGAGAGATTATGTTGACAGAGTTCAGTCTGCCTCTTCACCTTTTTTTTCCTTTAAGTTAGCCAACACATTTAAACACATTTAAAAAACAGAACCATAAAAAGATTAGCTGTGATTTCAGGTGACCGTAACATATAAATCATATTTCTATCTTGTATATAAGAATTGAAATTACATGATTATTGCAGAAATGCAGATTACCTCTTTACAGAGTGTACAGAATATGGGGAAACAAGCATGTACAAGAACATTGTGCAAGAGGTGTAAAATCTCTTTAATGTCACAATGCAGTCTAGATTATTCTAGTTATTTCAACTGCTGTATGTATTAAGGCATTGCCAATTAATTGATTAGAAGGGTATAGACGTGGTTCATATTACGGAATATTCCATGATAAGGAATACCGTAGAATACTAAAAACCTGGGAAAAAAGTATCAGAGCCAAAGGTGTGTTGAAAGGTTGACATTAAACACAGTTGATACTAATTTCTTGAAGGTATTTGTGCTTCTTAAAGCAACATGGTGATACTAGCCAGTGAAAAGGAAGATGCATTTAAAGCAGCAAATAACTACTTGAGAACAGTTTCTCCCATAAAATCACTCTATGGAAATTGTCTAGCTCCACACAATAGCTCTTGTCTTTTGAGCACCACCTTTCCTGTCTTGGGCATGAACATGTACAACACTTCCTTTTTATTACAGAAAAGTTCAACTAGAGCACTCGGCATTTGCCTCCAAGAAAAACAATGAACTCTATATTCCCTTTCTTAAATAGAAGTAAGCATAAGCAGCAGAGGTACAGTCATTTTAACTGCTAGAGTAATGCTGCTGTCTGAAAAGATGGACCTAACTCTCCCTCTGTTGCTTTCAAACTAGTGTCCCGCTGTTATAAACTGCTAAACATGAAAAGCAGACAAATGGCACAATATCAGTACTTTAATGTCCAAATTAATGCACAAATAAAAATATTTGTTGTGATTTAGAACAAATACGTATCTCATCATGCAGTTGTAAGCTGTATATTTTAGGGAAGGATTGTTTATTTAATGAAACAATGCAAAAATTTTTTTAGAAATTATTCAGAAACTACAGATGCTTTTCAGTTCTAGTACAGGCTTTATATAAAGAATTTGATTGTTCTAGAGGTGTAAACGCTGTGTTCAGATTTAATAAAGACAATTATTTAAAACATACAATAAAAATATTCTACAATTAATTTTAAATTAGTACAAGAATTATCAAATTCACCCATACAGTTTTGTGTGGTTTTACATGTCAAATTCATATCAAATACAAGCAGTAGTAGTAAAATCATCAGTGTACCTGTCTGAGATGTGTCTGTAAAAATCTTACGTATGACACCTCAAAGTCATTTGAATTTTTTTCCAAAAGCTTTCCATCAGTTCTTTTCTCAAGCTTATTAGAAGGGAGAGGGTTTATTATATGTATTCTAGACCAACAAGTCCATACATGGGTTGATAAAGAGAAGACACTGTTGTCCAGAAATATTAATTTCTGGACTAAAATATATATTATCATATAATATATATGACAGCAATATATTGCTGTCACTCCTGCCTGTGTATATAGCTTCGTATGAACATGGAATTTCACTGCTGTTAATGCAATAACCAGTGCATCCGATTGACTAATTATCAATAATAACTTGCTACTGTTGTTTATAAAAAGATTGTCTTACAGTGCCTGTATTCTGCAGGTCTGCTAGTCTGTTTTTCTGATATATAAATATTTGGTAACTATATACAAGAATCACACTAGCTTTCTGGGGAGGAAATTCATACACACCACTCAATAAAACCACATTCTGTGTAAACTCTAGCGAATAATTTAAAAAAAAGTTAGTGTACATTTTCAAGTAGTGGTTTTTTCGTTATCCTACTCTTCAGGCATTGTGACGTTCATTTGTAACATCCTTCTCAAGAAAGCACTTGAAGCCTATATCTGGTAACACAAATAACTGAAATACATTGTTTAAAACACAGCCAAATTTATGCTGTTTCAGAGACGTTTTTATTCATAGGTTACCTTGCCAACCACAATTAGCACCCACTCAGATGAAGTGCATCATACAGTTACACCTCTCTACAAACAGAAAGGCCATGAGAATGAATTATATTAAACATAAGAATTTTAATGTATTTTTTGTTATTTATAGGCTTAAGAATGTCTTGAAGCCGTTAAGAATTTTTTAAATGCTGCTTTAGAACGTGTTGGAAATATACCTTCATTGAAGCACTGAAAATGATATATTCATATACATAAAATCAATTTCTGCACATGAGATTAAAAATTAAGTATTTAAGAATTTCTGTAATTCTGCTTTTACCCAGGAGCACCAGTGAACCACTTTGGTTTTTCTCTGTTCAGGTTGCAATTAGTACATAGGGTATGAGGTTTTTTGCTCAACATGAATGTTTATTGAATGATTAACCTTTAAGAAGTTTAATTACACATTACTAGAATTCAAATGCTGAGAAAAGCATTTTGTAATACTTGTTCACTGCTCCAGGTATTTTTGTCAGAAATTAGTTCCAGTTTTTCCAGCATATCTATGGAGTATCCACAGTCCACAAAGGAACAATTAACATTGAAGCTCAAGAGAAATTCAAATACAGGATACGACTGCAGAAATTGCTTGTCTTTAGGAAATTTTGATCGTGTCTAAGCTAGAGGGAAAAGGAAGATATAGAGGAAACTTTCTAGTAACATTGCAGATACGGTTACCTTATTTTCACATTCCAAAGAGATAAATCCTTATTTCTTTGAGTAGGTCCTTAAGTAGGGGATATCTTAGCTTTTGCAAATATCTATCATCTGTGCTCTTTCATCATTTTAGGCAGGTTATATCCTCAAAGATTTGGACTACCCGCAGAAAAAGAAATGCAATTATTAGCCTTGGCTCCCAAAGCAAGTGTCGGCTACATATTTGATGGGGGATATTTCATGTCTTGGTAGAATTCATTCAGTAAATATCACAGTTTGGCTGTGTAACTTGCAGGATTACAGAATAGTAGTGCAGTTAGCTTACAATTGAGCAAGTTATTTTGAAACTAGGATGAGAACTATGGCTTCTGTTAGTGTCATATAAGTAGTAATTATTATATTCTAATATATTCCGTAAAGGCCTGAGATCAAAATAAGATTGACAAAACATGCTATGCAATGTAAAAATGACTCCTTTCTCCAAAGGTCTTTTTGAGTTATTTCAAATAATTGAGGAGGAAGTGGGTAAGATGACTTGTTGATACAGTGTTATTTGGATTTGAATAAGCTTTTAACACTCCTGTAACAAAGGCTCCTATATTCTAATATATTCCGTAAAGGCCTGAGATCAAAATAAGATTGACAAAACATGCTATGCAATGTAAAAATGACTCCTTTCTCCAAAGGTCTTTTTGAGTTATTTCAAATAATTGAGGAGGAAGTGGGTAAGATGACTTGTTGATACAGTGTTATTTGGATTTGAATAAGCTTTTAACACTCCTGTAACAAAGGCTCTTACAAAATGGCAGCATAGTTAAAAAGGGGTGGTTCTCTGACAGGCAAACAACTCCTGAAGTTCAATAGGAGACAAAGGATGGGAATGTTTATGTGAAGTGTCCCGTTGTGGCTACTCTTAGAGGAAGGATGCTGGTCTAGATGGACTTTTAGTGTAAACCGCAGTACCAGTTCTTGTTTCTGTATGACAAGGAAATTGAAAAAGACAGCATTTATCAGCATAATAGCTAAGAACAAAACAAAAAAATACAAAAACCTCCCACCGGATGACTGGTTAAATTATTAGGTTAAGTAAGTATATAAAGCATTAGTAATTTGAAACAGCCATGTTACAGAAACAGTAGGCTGACCTTATCTCTGCCATAATTTTTTTGTATTCTTTAGAGAAACTTACAATGATCTTAGCCCAGTGATTATACAGAGGGGACTCGATGTCCAGAAGCAGTGGTCCTGCAAACAGTTTTAGTCTCCATTGCCAACTGTAGTCATGCTGACATTATTGAATGGAGCTCACTGGAGGTCATCAGTGGGTTCTCATAAAAGAAAACAATATTACACTTAGGGTTACATCTGAGGAAATAATTATAACTCATGAACATTGGCTGTTACTGGGTTAGGTTGTAGCACTAACAAACGGCAGTCATTTATATTAATTGTAAATTCAGTCTTGCGCTGAAGCTTGAATAGTCTGTCACAAGAAATAGATATTAATGGCATTTAAATTCTATTTTTTAATTTGTGTTTGATGGTTGAATGTTAAGAGTAGAAATAAATACAACTAGAATACTGTTCTTGAACCTTTTCTTAACCTATGAAAAATACTGAGGTCTGGGCTTGGTCTGCCTTCAATGGTGATAGTAATACACAAGTCGTTATAATAGTGTTTTGTGTAAGAAGCACTCATTGTCATCGATTATAACCAAATTGCCTAAATTTTTTCTATAGCTAGCTTTTTCTATAGTACCTGAATGGAAGGTGTATCTGTAGTGTTTGAAATATTACCATGCACAGTTATTTCTCGTATTTTTTGAACTGAGTTTTTGGTTTGCTGTATGTATGTTACATGTGATCTCCTAAAAAACAGAAACCAGGAGTCAAGTATGGCACAACAAAAATGGTTCATTACAATCTGCCAGCTGTACACGTAGTCTGGATATATAGTTTATCCAAATCTTTCCATTCTTTTCTTTCCTCGAATCCTTCTAATAGCTTCCCTTTTTTTTGGTTATTTCTTCCTATGGGGTACCTGTATCCCCTGTATCAGCCCATTTTGCCTGCATTAGACTTTTCTGCCTGTTTTTCCTCTTGTGCAGATGCAGCCCCACCTTTGAACACGTGCGTATTCCATCTCCTCATGCCTCTTTTTTCCTCATCTGCCTGTTCCTTTAAGCAACAAGAAGCATGCCAGAGACTGCTGTTCCTTCATGTCTCAGCCATAGTCCTGCAGTTCTGCAGAAATGGGAGGCTTGCAGGGATGAGACTGAGTTGGCAACAGGAGTCTACCTACCCGTAGGCTGCAGGTTTTGTTGCCTGCTTCCTGTCCTTTTACTCAGCAGCTGGTGGGGGAAAAAAGAGGTGAACAAAGATAAAAAAAAAGTCTCTGCTTCTCTTTCCTCCAGGTATACCAAAAAGAGGGAGAAAGGCACTGTTGACTCTCGCTACTGCAGAAAATTTGGCTTGGGACATATCCTCATGTAGATGTCAGGTGTAGGTCCACAGCTGTTCCCAAGCAGTAGGTGAATATAAATGCCCAGGTTGTTAAAGCTATTTTGCTGATATATTAATTTATATGAAACAAAAATCTTCTTCAATAGGCAATACTCCTTGCCAAAACAGTAGTGGCCTAAACAGTGGCAGAACAGTGCAGCTGCTCAAAGTTTGGAGGGTATAGTTAGATGATGGGGCCAGGTAGAATTGTTGCTTCTGTGAGTGCTGAGGCATCTGGAAGGACACGAAAAGATGTAGACTAATGCGTGTGGATTTGGGCCAGTGGCTGTATGAGAAGCAGTTGTTAGCTGTGTGACTCTAAAGGCTGCTACAGTTAGCCAAGGAGACTTGGGAAGCTTTTGGGATACCCCTTTGGGAAGTGTTTTTCTAGAGAGCTAAAGATATATTCTGTGGTTCGGCAGAGGACTCCAGTCTCTTGCCAGGTGGGGGGGGGAAAGAAGCCCTAATGATGGTAGCTATAGTCTTATGTACTGCTATCCAGTAGAGAAACTAGCAAGAAAAGAGTGTAATTTATCACCTTGGTGCCGGTTTAGCAGACCTTGCAAAAATCTTCTGCCTTTTCAGCAGAAATGTAGGAAAAGACCTGCTGTAACTATTGAATATGTCTTTTCTCTCCTTGGAAAGCATCTTCTGCTCCAGGCCACATACTCCACAGGACTGCCAATGTTATTCTACTTTATGATTTGTTCATTTCATGAATATCAAAGAAGATGGAGCTCATGGTCAATTCACACTTTAAAATGATTAGTCATTTTGTTTAACTGAGTTACCAGTGTAGTGTGTTTAAATTGCATGCTAATGCAATTAAATTTAATGGGAGCTAAGTGTGGGTTATTAGTAGCCCACAGTTGGTGGAAGATCCTGAACTCTCTGTCAATTGCTTCTCTTGGTCTTCAAGAACGAGGATTTCTGAAATTTCTGGTCGTGCATCAAAGCATTTGAGGAGGAGGTGTTTGCAGTGGGGATGTTTGGTATTAGTTTTGGAACACTGGCAGCCAGCCCTTTACTTCTAATTAAATGAGAGAGATAATTTCTCACACAGAGAGGTAGTTGATTTAATTTTAATTTTTGTCAGAATGCCCAGAGCATCGAACGGGTGTCTGATCATTGGAACAAAATCCTTAGTACAGATTGAAAGAATTAATGCAATTAATTCACCACCATGATGGGAAAAATTCTGGGATTTTGTTTATGCAGATTGAAACTGATGATGAATATACAAAACCAAATGTGTGATACTCTCGCCTTTTCCATGATGCAAGTTCAATTTCTCACGTAAAGCTCAGGCCTGAGAGGCAAAAAGCACTTACTTTGGTACGTGGGAGATGGAGGCTCTCCTAATTCCTTATTGGGGACTGGAGAATCCATGGGCTACTTGTCCTACATAGTAGCTGAGACCTTTTCCTAAGGGATGCAGATATCTCAGTGCTCATCTTATTTTGTTCTAGAGCATTTTGAAATATAGTTATAATGAAAGCTTGGCAAAAGAACAGTTTAAAATGTAAAAATAGCAAAATGTGCGGAGGCTGCTGTTCATTTTGTAAGTCAAAGCTTGTGACTAAAGAATGCTCCTTAGCAACAGATGGGGAAAATCTGAAGGTGATCATATCATTTTGCACTCCCTGAAAATTAATTACTCCTGTTCATCCTACCTTTTAGGCACCATCCTTTTCACGTCCCTGTTCTGCTTGTTCCTTGGGATTAGGACTGGCTCAGTCGTGTAACCCAGTTTTATTATCACCCATACTCATGCTGATGCAGGCTTCTTCAGTTTTCTGTCCCACTGTGCTGTACATAATGTGTACTGATTCGTATGGAATAGAACACAAAGGTGTCCTAGGAAGGAAGGAAGGACACCACACACTGCAGTTTCTGTAGATGGTTGTTTTGTACTTGGCACTGGTGAGGCCGCACCTTGAATACTGTGTTCAGTTTTGGGCCCCTCACTACAAGAAGGACGTTGAGGTGTTGGAGCGTGTCCAGAGAAGGGCAACGAGGCTGGTGAGGGGTCTGGAGAACAAGTCTTCTGAGGAGCGGCTGAGGGAACTGGGGTGGTTTAGCCTGGAGAAAAGGAGGCTGAGGGGAGACCT